CCTTTCTTTGAAAACTGCTGTGTCCTGTGCACATGGGGGCTTGTCCTTTGGTGTGATGGCTTATATACAGGCTTCTGTCTAAGCGTGCTTCACCTGTTTCCCCCATATTTTGCAGCTTTCCTTGATCTTCAAAGTCAAGGGTAACGCAGCTGAACTTCCTTCCTCCGTTTACCTCTTAAAAACAATGATGGACCGAGCAACTTTCTTGTTGAGAAGAAATCATTTCCAGGCGTTTTTTGTGTGGCCGTGATGTTGCCTTTTTCTGGCGCCACTTTGATGATAGTTTGATGGGTCAGACAAAATGTTCCAAACCCCAAGACACGCGATGATGAGGCAGGAAATACGGAGAAGTTATGAGTAATCCGGCAACTAGATGAGTCGCGCAACGTGCTGTCTTGGCCGGCGCGCGCAAAATCTCGCTAATGTTATTCATGACGTCAGGAGCTGAAATTGAATGGCGTTGATCACGTGGTCTTAAGCCCCACCGAGTCCCGTTCTGAGTTGGGCCGAGCGCGAGCACAGATTGGAGTTGTACAAATATTCTGCGATTTCGGGCCTTTTACTCCACGGATTTGCGCTGAAAAGTTCTCAAAGTGCACCCAGGACCTCTGCAGAGGCTTCGTGTGTGGAGTTACGCTGGAGTTTGGCCGGATCGGTGAGTTCTGAGTGCGTTTCTTGGGAGGTGGAGGGGAGACGTCTGTGTACTTACTGGGAGCAACAAGTGCATACCACGGCACACTGAAGTTTCTGATTTCATCTCACTTCTGGATCGAGTTTGGGCTCAGGGACGCGTTTACAGCTCCCTTTCGGCCATACTTAACTAGCCAGGAGACTCTAAAAGTAAGTGTTGTCGATGTTAGAAGGTATTATCTCTCGGTGTGGCGTCTGTGGGGATCGGTTTGCTACATTCCTGTCCGGGATGTTTGCAACATGTGTGCGACCTTGGTGCGGTAAATATGGGTGCTCTTTGATTTTGGGATCGGAGCCGCTAGCAGAAATCCGAGCAGAGCCACTCCACGGCTCCCGTTTGCTTCCCAACACGGGGAGCCAGAGTGTCGCCACCGCCGTCCGTGTATAGGAATGTCCTTACCGAAACGAGCTATCGTGAAGTTTGGAAGTTATCGGAGCCGTGTTGTTGTGGGGAGCCATTTTTGATTCGGTTGCGTGCACCCCTCGGCTCCACTTCTTGAGATAATGACCCCTTTGTTTAGGAAATGAATCAAAATGAACTGTGTGTTTGTGTGAGGCGATTTTCCCCTCCGCCCAGTCCTATTCACCATGTTTTTCCTCTGGATTTTGTGGAAAAGTTAGTTGTGCATTGTCTGGAATATTTTTGTCGTGTACGATGTATTTTGACACGATTGACAGCATACTTTGCACTGGATAAATGACTCTTTTGTTGGAAAATGTTCGGTCGGAACTGAAGTAGTTTGTCTCCCGATTTCTCGGTTCCCAGTTGGTGTTCCCGTGGAGAAAACCCCGTGTTTGTCTCATCACAGGCTACCTACACCCTTGTACGGACGATATTTTGTATTGAGGGTTATTTTTGGTGAATCTACGGGACCTTGTGTCGAGTGAAACGGCACACCCCTAGTGTATAAAGTGGAGGGGGCACCCGGCATTGTCTGACCGGCCATTTCGGTCGTGTCAAAATACGATCGAGTTTCAGACGAAATTTTGCTCCCATGGTTTTGAATCGCTGGGGTCACCTTCCCTCCTCTACCAAGGCAAAACCGGGACAGGAGTCCAGAAAACAATGCTGACCTCTAGTGCTCTTGCCTCTCAGTGGAGGTCCCAATGCTGGGTTTTGTCAAGTTCGAGTTAAAGTGTAGTGTTGCATCACCAGGGACCGAGCAAGACTGCATGCGTGTGGGACATGCCTGGCCAAATTTCTTTAGACTTTCTCGCCTAATGAGCATTAAGCAATTTTTCCTCCGAAGGAATCTGAGTTTCTTAGGATAGGTTAGACGTGGAAGAGAGAAATATTTGCACTAACACTGAACAGTAGTTTGAAGTTGCCATGAGCGTAGTAGATTATTTTGCCTCAGACTGTCTAACCCTAAGTACCCATTTTACATCAAAAGAAGTGTTAGTGATTTTGGAAAAAGTCCATGGGAAATAGATGAGGCAAAACATTATCTGGCATTGTTCCCAATGAATGCTGGAGGTTGGGCTGTGGTAAGTTGTCTGCACTTGTTTTTGACAGAATTCTAAATTAGAACAATTGTTATGTTTTTATAAGGTCCCACAGAAATGCAGACAAGGTTTTTCACACTTAGTTTTGTAGTGAAAAGGGTGGATTTAAAATGAAAAGGACAATCATTACCTAATGAAGTGAAGATTGGAAAAATACAGTCATTGTAGCTCATTTTGGGTAGACACTAGTTCACAGAAGTAGAAAAAGAAAGTTATTATAGTAACTTTATTTCAATAATTATCATTTGTATGTCAATTTTTGCAAATTGCAAGTCCAGTTATACCCATTCCTTTTTGCAAATTCTTATGAAAAATGAGGTCTCTGAACAATATTCACAAGAAGACCCTGGCCCAGAATTTTGTAGATACACATACACACACAAGGGACAACAGTTAATTTGTAACAGATACATCTTGCTCTCACCATGGTACTGATTATGTAAAATTTGGTCTGCATAATCCTGATAAACAGGGATGTGTGAAGTTATGATGTGGGAAAATTTCTGATTTTGGTGCAGTGCATGTTGTCAAATCTATTGAGGTTACTGTAGGAGGGAAAGGATGGTTTTCATGTGTTAAATTAATGTTCAAAACAATTCTTTAATACAGTAGTCATATGAGGAAAACATATCTGCGTCATTATGAAATTGCGATGGAGAGTTCACTGCGAAAACCACAAAAATAAAACCATTGAAATAGTTTCATGTACGTCGACAGTGTTTATTATGTGAGCAGTTATGCTGTGTTGAAATGAACACCCCTCATGGCTTGATCAGAATGTATTGTATGCTCAGTATAACTACACCAACATAATAGATCCCCAGAGATTCAGTTTTTCCTGGACAAGGTTTTGTAAAAGCCTGGAAAAACAAGGACATGCCCCCTACTGTATTCGGGGGAAGATGTTGTTTTTCTTCTCTTTTTCTCTTGCAATCTTTGTTATAACAGGATGTTCATGTAACAGTGGGAGTTCGTCTCACTTATCATAACGATGGGAGGGAAATTCATTTTCAGAGAAAGAACGTACAAATCCACAAAAACAATTGTAACACCTTTAAGCCTATTAATCCAAAAGATCTGTTTTAATTTCATTCAAATTTTTTTGCAGTGGTGCTTGTGGGGGGTCGTCTGTACTAATTGAACATGAAAAAAAAGAATGCCATGTGGAAAATCTCCTGGTAGTAAAGGAAAACAAGTGTTGTTAACCCACATGTTTGTCAGTTGTTGATCATGTAAGTTTAGTGCAGTATGTAACTCCAACTTATTAAAAAACACAGGTTTTTATTTTTGTTGGTGCACAACAACACAGCCTACTACAGTACTAGCAACATGTTAGCTGATGTATTCCCACTGACGTCATATTAAAGTTGACCAATCGCGAAATCTCGCGAGAGGTCAACAACCTATGACGTCATCACTCTTCTATCCTTCACTTGTCGCGACCTCATCTGCGCAGCCGGACGTCAGTTTTTAGCTCCTCAGCAGTCGGTTCTCAGCACGCTATGGCGGCGTGCCAGCCTTCCCTCACCGAGCCGAGAAGTCTTCAGGAGTAGTCCGGAGAGAGGCATTGGAGAGACCGGCGATGTTTTAAGCGGTGTTTAGAACGTCTAGGGGTTTGTTTCTTGTGTTTCGTTTGGTTTTGTGGTTCAGTGTTTTTTTTTTTGTGGTAGCCATGTGCCATCCTTTTGTTCTATGGATTTGCATTTCTGTACAGCGGGCGGCGCGGGTGCACATAGTTGTGGCTCGCCAGCACCTGGCACGTTTTTGTGTTCTTTTGTTACGGCGGTAGACTTGTTTTTTATCGTTTTGTGTCGTATTTGAGGTGTGTAACTCTGTGCTTTTTCGAGTTAGGCCTTTAGGCTTCTGCGTCCTCCTCTTCAAGCGGCACCAAGACGGCGAGGTGGACCCGCCGGCAACGTACCAGGGGAAACGGCCATTTCTCCTGGGTCAGACACCAGCTAGCTTTATCGGCGCCACCCGCAGCATCATCCTCGACAAGTTCTTAGAAGACGGCAATACTACGCTTACGGTGAGTTCTACTGTACTTGCGCGTACTGGAGGGACCACCGGCTTCGACCACTTCTACAACAACTTCGGACTACACCGGCCTGGGGCCGCATGTCAGCTACAACGGCCTGGGGCCGTAGCGTAGCTGGGCTACGGTGAGTTTGGGGAGAACCCCACGATCAGCACGCTAGCCTGAGGGACCATCGACATCGACTACCTCTCCAACAATGTAGCTGGGCTACACGCGGCCTGGGGCCGCACGTCCGAGCAAACAACGGCCTGGGGCCATAGCGTAGCTGGGCTACGCCGGTAAGTATGGCAGCCTGGTGGCTGCAGGTCCCCTCTAACTACGGCCTGGGGCCGTCACGTAGCTGGGCTACGCCGGTAAGTATGGTAGCCTGGTGGCTGCAGGTCCCCTCTAACTACGGCCTGGGGCCGTCACGTAGCTGGGCTACGCCGGTAAGTATGGCGGCCGGGGTCCGCATGTCCTTTCTGACTACGGCCTGGGGTCGTGGCGTAGCTGGGCTACGCTGGTAAGTATGGCGGCCTGGGGTCGCATGTCCCCTCTAACTTCGGCCTGGGGCCGTAACGTAGCTGGGCTACGCTGGTAAGTTTGACGGCCTGGGTCTGCGTGTCCCCTCTAACTTCGGCCTGGGGCCGGAATGTAACGTAGCAGGGCTACGCCGGTAGAAGGGTGCCCCGGGACCGAAAAGCCACTCTTAAAACGGTCGGGGAACTGGATCGTAGCTGGGCCATGCGGTTATGTTCGGCAGTTGGAAGCCGCCGATCCTCTCTTCCTGCGGCTTGGCCGTAGCGAAAAAACGCAGCTGTGCTACATGGGTAAGTGTGGCGGTATGAGGTCGCATGTGCACGACGGATAAGGGCCTATCCACAGGTTTGGTTTATTTTAAAGGACATTTTATCTACTGACATCAGTTGCCTTGGTACCAAGCGGAGCCTCGGAACGGTCGACGGAACGAACTGAATCATACGATTTGTGCTCATTACATGTACTACTATTTTGGGGGCGAGTACAAATGTGTTTTTGCCCTTCTGCGATGGGTTGTGATGGGTTCTGATGGGTTTGTTGGTATTCGGGTGTCACCTGTTTTTCCTCTTGATTTTTTCAATCCTAAAGATCAGTTTGTTCTATTTCGTTTTGGACAATTTGGCGGTTTACTCAAAAGCGATTGTTCGTGATGGTTTCTTTTAAAGGCCCAATCTTTCCCTCTCGCGGACCTAGTCGGCCCAACTAAGGACCTTGCCGTCCATCCCTGACGGTCCGGGAAGCGAGCGGGTTCCCACCCTCCAATTTTTCGTCTAGGCTTGAAAGTTTTTTAATGTTTGCGCATTTGTCAGACATTTATTTCTTCCGCAACCCTTCGGAGTGGAGAGATTCTCACTTCGCTACGGACACTGGTACTTGTAATCACGGTTAGCACCACTGGTAAGTGCGTACATTAAGGCGAAAGTCTGTTCTCCGAGGGGTGATTGGAGGGGGGCAACTCCCGCTTCGCCCGGTCCGGTACCCCAAAGGGAAAATGTTTACATCTGAAAAGCTTCACAGCAGGCAAATGGATGAATAAAGACGGTTCAAGGCACCTGGGAGAGGGATAGCGACCCTCACACGCGCTTTG